GGGTTGAGGGTTGAGGGTTGAGGGTGCAGGGTTTAGGGTTGAGGGCGCAGGGTTTAGGGTTTAGGGTTGGGGGTTTCGGGTTTAGGCTTTAGGGCTTGAGGGGTTGAGGGGTTTAGGGTTCAGGGCTTAGGGTTTAGGGCTGAGAGTTTGGGGCTTTCGGGTTTTAGGGCTTCAGAGCCTTAGGGCTTCAGGGTTTCATGGAGGAAGAGGCTCAAAAGGCGGGGTGAAGGTAAGTGGGGTCCCTAAACCATAACCCCTGAACCCTAAACCCTACACCCTAAACCCTACACCCTAAACCCTAAACCCGAGACCCCTTCCCCTAATAAGGGATCCTTATACAATCCTACCCTTCTCAGAGGTTTCAGGGCTTAGGGCGTATGCGTTGAGATTTAGGGTTGAAGGTCTATGCTGTGGGATTCAGGCTCGGGATGTTTAGGGCTTATGAAGTCACTGTGCAGCCCCGACTCAACTCCCTACAATTTCAGGGCCAGGGTTTAGGGTCTATGGCTTGGGGATTTAGGGTACACCCTATACCTATACTTAAAGGAGCATGGGACTTAGTAACTAAGGTTGTTATTAGGATAACTATACTTTATAACCACTTTTAACCCCAATTAAGGTACTTATAACCATACTTACTACGTCCCATGAGCCTCCAAGTAGAGCTTAGATCTTGATTTAGGTTTCGGAGCCCAAGGCCCTAAACCCTAAGCTCTAATCCCCAAACCCTAAACCCTAAACCCTAAACCCTAAACCCTTAATCCTTAATCCTTAATTTAATCCTAAACCCTAAGCCTTAATCCCTAAACCCTAAACCCAAAGCCTTAATCCCTAAACCCTAAACCGTGGCACCAAACCCGACATTGAAAACTCTGCACCCTAAACCTGGGTTTCCGCCTGGCGAAGCCGAAACGCTTGAGTTCTTTTTGCAGGGCACGGGTTAGGGTTTAGGGTTTAGGGTTTTTGGTTTAGGGTGTAGGGTTTGGTATGTAATGTAGGGGCCTTAGTGGTTAGACTAGGTTTGTAGTATACTATACTATAGTTACAATGAGGAACCCCAACATAGTAGAGGCAATTATTGAGGCCCCATTTTTACAGGTCTTTTATAGGAGCCTGGCAAAAACACCTGACCGTACACCTTTTTGAGGTGATTTCCCTGCCGGGTCGGCTTCAACAGTTTATGTTTGTGCTGCATTTTGGTCTCTAGGGTTTAGGGTTTAGGGATCGCGGTCTGGAGCCTATGCTACAAGGTACTGACTCTCTAAACCACATGAAGAAGTAAGCTGAGGGGCGTAACTCCGTGGCAAGGTTGAGGGTGGCTCGGCGCACCAGCTGCGCGGCAGGCAGCTTTAACTTTCCAGCCTCCTCCCAGATTCAAAGAGCTGCCGTTCGTGGCTTCAAATGCTTCTAGCAATTATGGTCATTTCTTTTTTTTAAGTCGTCAGTCGCAGCACCATGAATATAATGAGGGCTGCCGTTTGACATGCTAATCCGCACCAGCCGTGCCACGATTCCCAAGTTTCCTATGTCCATTTAACTGCGGCAGCTGTCAACGAATATCGGCACGATTACCATCCCAACCATGACTCTCAGCATCAGCATGATTCTCATTATTACCACGGCTACGGCAACTTTCATCGGCATCAAATGTTTTCCTGTAACAGTCACTGTGCACACAAGTGAAGTTTTCTGCCAACGACTGCCAGCACTACCATCGTTAACACTGTTGCTTATTGGTGCGAATGCCCTTGCCAGCCCCGCAATCAGGACGATGATCCTCGCTACGACACCTGCTCTTAGCAGCAATATTGAGCTTCTTATTCCGTCCCTCCATGTTTTACATCTGTGTGCTTCGTCTGCTACTGGCAGTTGTCGTAGCCTTCGATGTTTGTAATAACCAGGTGCATAGAGCTTTAATGACAGCATCTCATATATCACCATGAGAAATCTGACTCCTTAAGCGTGGGTGCCACCGTTTCCGGCGATTGCGATGCATATGTCTGACACAGTGCTCAGCTGTTTAGTTTACATTAGTGTCCCCGTTATGATGCCAAAGATTCAAAAGCTATACACTTCCCAACAGGAGTCCTACCCGCACCCACCAACCTGTGTTGCTGTAATGTAGGCGGTTTAGCTTGTTGGCTTTTGCAAACTGCTTTTGCAAGGAGGAGGATGATCATGGCAATAATGGTGACGAGTATATGGCACTGAGGTTGAAAGCCAGGATGAGGATGCAGAGCGAACCCTAAATCCGTCAACTCGCACCTTAACTTCCAAACGCTTCTACCCCCAAAAACAAATCACCTTGAACAGCATGCCCCAGAAACCCCCGCACAAGAAAAATCATCACCCAAACCCTAAACCGGGCCTGGCTGGCACCCCCAGCTGCTGCAAAGACTTCGCGGGAGAGTTGCACGGCTCGCGCTTCGTCGCTCTCACCATCGCCTCCGAGGTGGTTGGGGTTAAGGGCTTTGGGTTTAGAGCTTAGAGTTTAGGGTTCGGGGTTTGGGTTTAGGGTTCAGGGTTT